AATTCCATGTGAATTGCAGGATGAACTTTTCCATTTATACAAAAAAGGCTATTGGTCCAATGTCTGATAATTCACTGCTTTCCTAGACCTCTGGGGTCCCGAAAGCCTTGCTGTGGGCACACTATGAGGTCCTGCCGTTGGCAGAGTCCTTTACTTAACAGCTCAGTGATCAATGTGAATAACAGTTTGAAATGAAGATTTACCAAGTAGCCTTCCCTGAAAGTGGAATTTGGGTATTGCCCAAAAGATTCAATAGAGTTAGCTCCACATGTTACGCAAGACTTAACTTCCAAATACTTTATACTTCAAGTATATTTAAAAATTTTGCCACTAACATAAATATAAAATGTGTCATTGACAGCTTGAAGACCATTTAACCTGAGTCTTTATCTCTGAGGTGAGGAAATTAAAGTCTAAAATTATGAGAAGCAAGTAGCTAGTCTCTAACATGCTTTAAATTCATGTCATATGCCATTGATAGTCCATTAATATACACTTTGAAATGCTGATTTATGGGAATGACCTTCCAAGCTAATAAACCAAATTCCTAACTCAAACATACAAAATGGCTTTTGAGACCCTTCATTAGAGAACCAAATTTAACTAAACTAAACTCAGACAATGCCTTTCAGAAGCTACTATGAAGTGGATAATCATGGAATGTAGTGTTGTTGGGACATGAAAATACCTGGCTTTTCTCTATCAAAGGACTATTTTGCTTCTTTATTAAAAAGGTTGTGTTTTCAACTTTCAGAAATGCCCTCTATGATTAATTACAGAATCATTAGCTTCCCAATGATGAGTATTTCATCTTCATGTGAGTCCATACAGTAGCAGAATTTGAGGCATTGTTAATCCTTATGCTTGCAAATTTAATTCCATGCTAGTTTCATAATTCTTACTAATTAGATGAATATGAATATGATAATGATAGCAAACATCCAGTGCTTACCATGTGCCAGGGACTGTCCTATATATACAGATAATAACGTATGTCATCTAATACTCTCAGTGACTCCAAAAGGTAGAGTTTATTACCTATATTTTACATATGAGGAAACTAGGCACAAAACAGACAAAAACCCTTTCCTGAGTAGTGTAGCTAGTAAGTGGGGCAAAGATTCAAACTCAGAGGATCTTAAATCTTCCAGGGCCTACACTCTTGATCACAAGGTTTTGCAACTCATGGAGGGCAATTGCTCTTTGTACTCTTAAGAATCTTAGAATAAATAATGAGAATGATAATAGAGCAGCTATTGCATAACAGGTGCTGGGTCATCTTTCTAGGCCAAAGAGAAGGAATGACTGATAGATGTGAGGGACATGAAGCACATATTGGAGCAGGAAGAAACATTGTATTTCTGTTTCCCTTTTGTAT